CTAGATTTGGCATGTAACATTTTTAGCGGCAATCATTGGTCGATTTTCTAGCGTTGCCATTCGGGGAGTTGTAAAGAGGCTTTTTTTGTCGCCGTGTAAGAGAAATAGTAACGTAAACAAAACAAAACAAACGTTGCCATCGGCGGAAAAGAAATTCAGCCGAAATTTGGGAGCCACGTAAGAGAATTATATATATTAGATTTGAAGAGATATTGGCTTACATGTAGAGATATTCATTTAAAACCAGAGATATTCACTTACATATGGAGCTTTTGGTTTCAAAACTTGCTCGCTTCATCACCAGAAACGTTTTCACGAAGAGAAAAAAAATTATCCCCATCGAGTCAATCAAAATTGCTTAAACGTTATTGTAATGGACGAAAATTCATGTTTGTCTTAAGGAGTTCTTATTTGTCAAAGTTAAAAAAAAATTACCCCCAAAAAGTCTTTAAATATGCTTATTATCAATGGTCATTAGATTTTAAATTTTACACGAGCCGTGCTCAATTCGCTGGTTTCAGAAGTTGCAACCAAATGTAGCAACAGCATTAAATATTTTAAACTATTATTATTGTTGTTTAAATTTCAGAAATATTTCAAACTCTTTTTTGGTTTTGAAATAATTTTCAAAAATTAAAAAATAGTTTCGTATAAAAATTGTAAAAGGGGAGGATGTATGGGAGTTGCTTTGATCAGAGCATTAGTATTGTGGTCGATTTTACTATGCCAAAGCGAAAAATTTACGACGAAAGGGCCGAATTTTTGCTCAAATATATTTCAGAAAGTTACGAATCTATTTCAAACCGATTTTTGTTATATAGCTAAGAAAACATTTACAATGCATTGTTTATTTACTTAAAAAAGATGATTTTACATTTTTATTGAATCTGAAAATGGTGTCTTGCGGATTTTTACGCAAAAAAATCTATTGTTGAACCAAAAGTTAAATATTATAAGGTTCTTTACAGTTTAATATTATTAAAAAGTTAAGAACTTAATCGGATGAGAAGTTTCTGAGATATTGAGTCAGAAATTTTCCTTTCTAGCACTAGTGAATGGAGAAAAAATGTTGGTAAAATTACCGTACTACTATATGGTGATGATATTTCTGGTAAAATCCCTCTGGCAATTTTCGTATTAAAAAATGTACGGTAATTTATTTACATTTGGTAATACCTTCGTTCATATAGTAATTCTGTTCTTCAAAATTATACTTCTTATTACCGAATATTCAGTAAAAGAAAGCAGAACTGAAAACTAAATTTAACCTTATAATTTTTATGCAATACTTTAAGGTATGGTAAAAAAAATTTTTCTTATCGCATATTACAATAAAATGTGGTCTACATTTTACTGTTAATTTTACCAAAATCATTACAAGAATATTTCTGTAAAAATTACCGAGAATTTCGATATTTCCATAGACACAAAAACGCGAAATTTTTTTTACCATATTCTGTTAGTCTTTGCCACACTTTTTTTTCTTAACGTGGCAGAAAAAAAATTAACTATATGGATTCGCAGACAAACATTTGGCTAACAAAGCAAACTAGCAAACAAACATTCGGCAAACAAAATTTAATTCTTTTAATAAATTAAGATTGATTTGATTTTGATGCCAAGAGACAATGAATCATATTGAAAATCAGGCTACGAAAAATCTTAAAATTTTTACCTACCTTGCTGGGCGTATTAGCCTATAGAATACATGCTCAAACTTTTTTATTGAAAGCATATTAATTATAATGCATAAATTTCAGCTATACAGAGAGACACTAAGAGTATAAAATAGGTACAAATTTAATAAAATCACCTTTTAAAAATTACATGCTCTGAGATCCATTAAAGATTTACATTACCTTACTTTCCATTTAAGATTTCAAACAGATGTCAAATATGAACTATAAATGATATTAATCTCATTTATGCTTTCACATGTCAATTTCTGGTTAAGTATTCCCACTATAGCCCGTTAAGAGCCAGCTGGATCATGGAGATTAAGACTCCAATAGAATAATTATGTGGTCAGCATTGCGCACAGGCCGTCTTTACTTCCCAGACCAGCTGGTATCCATCAATTTCAAATTCTACATTATATAATTTTTTATGTATAGCGATTAAGGTATACTTTTTTATAGCAAAAATAAGCACGAATAGGAAAATAAAAGGAAATAAGCAAATTTTGTTTAATAAATTTTTAATTTAACCAAATTTTGAGAGGGTGTTTTAAAAATATAACAGGGCATTTTCGAATAAATAAGTCGCATGTAAGGAACGGTCATAAAAATACGTACCCGATTGGAAATTTTACATGTCTCCGATATGTGGAACAATACAATTTTCAAGTTTCGTTGACAATATAATTTTAGCAGTCTTACAAACTTACCTTTTTGAGTTTGCCGGTCGAAAATGTTGGAGAAACAACCATTCTAATTCGTTTCCAATCTTCTCCCCCAACAATTATCAGCATTTTTTCAAGTAATTCTTCTCCTGTTCCGAAATCCTGCAAAAATATTATGAAACAGGTCTTAGGCAGGGAAGGAGGGTACAAAGTTTATTTATTAATTATTCGACAAAGAGCGTTTATCAAGGTCACGAAATGTTGTGCTCCTCAATGTAAGTTAGGGAAAATCTTGCAAAGTAAATCAGTAAAATGTTTAATTTTAGGGAATGAGGGAAATCGTAGTAATAGTAATTGGTTTATTAAATAGGTCGCACGATTCCCACAAAGAGCAAAGGGCAAAATGTCTTACTTTTAATTATTGCATACTTTAGCCAAAAATAGATTAAAAGACAGGATGTGAATTTAAAAGTGTGAGAAAGCGTTTTGTTTTGACTAATAAATTAAGAAAAGGATTTACAGAAAAGGAATAACATAAAAAGATTAATTCAAGCTTTTTATGTTACATACTTTATATATACATATATATATNATATATATATATATATATATATATATATATATATATATATATATATATATATATATATATATATATATATATATATATATATATATATATATATATATATATATATATATATATATATATATATATATATATATATATATATATATATATATATATATATATATATATATATATATATATATATATATATATATATATATATATATATATATATATATATATATATATATATATATATATATATATATATATATATATATATATATATATATATATATATATATATATATATATATATATATATATATATATATATATATATATATATATATATATATATATATATATATATATATATATATATATATATATATATATATATATATATATATATATATATATATATATATATATATATATATATATATATATATATATATATATATATATATATATATATATATATATATATATATATATATATATATATATATATATATATATATATATATATATATATATATATATATATATATATATATATATATATATATATATATATATATATATATATATATATATATATATATATATATATATATATATATATATATATATATATATATATATATATATATATATATATATATATATATATATATATATATATATATATATATATATATATATATATATATATATATATATATATATATATATATATATATATATATATATATATATATATATATATATATATATATATATATATATATATATATATATATATATATATATATATATATATATATATATATATATATATATATATATATATATATATATATATATATATATATATATATATATATATATATATATATATATATATATATATATATATATATATATATATATATATATATATATATATATATATATATATATATATATATATATATATATATATATATATATATATATATATATATATATATATATATATATATATATATATATATATATATATATATATATATATATATATATATATATATATATATATATATATATATATATATATATATATATATATATATATATATATATATATATATATATATATATATATATATATATATATATATATATATATATATATATATATATATATATATATATATATATATATATATATATATATATATATATATATATATATATATATATATATATATATATATATATATATATATATATATATATATATATATATATATATATATATATATATATATATATATATATATATATATATATATATATATATATATATATATATATATATATATATATATATATATATATATATATATATATATATATATATATATATATATATATATATATATATATATATATATATATATATATATATATATATATATATATATATATATATATATATATATATATATATATATATATATATATATATATATATATATATATATATATATATATATATATATATATATATATATATATATATATATATATATATATATATATATATATATATATATATATATATATATATATATATATATATATATATATATATATATATATATATATATATATATATATATACAGTTGAAAGAAGCAATGGAAGAATATATATATATATCTCCTTTCCTTTAAAAATAAATCTTTAGTAAAAATGCTTAACGCGAACGAGTTTAACTAGAAAAATAGAAGTAAAAGTATATTCCAAGTATTAATAAAAAATATTGTTAAAGTCAAGTGATAATTTGTCTAAAAAGAAATTCTGCAGTATAAAAGAAAATTCAATATAAGCGAAGAAAAAATTAAAAATTGCGATTTTTATATATTTGACACTTTTGAATGATAAGTGCCCTATCGCAATTTTTTCTTCTCCAAAAATCAAATGTTGCTTTATCAGTTTCCTAGAATTCTATTCTAGCGTTCTTAGCATTAGCAACGGGAAAAAAAATCGTTGTCAAACCACTTTTTTCGAAATCTATCGTGAATTACTTGTGCTGTTTTCTTTCAATTGCCCAGCAGAATTCTGAATAATTCTTAATAATACTTACTGTATGATCTAGGAAGGATTGAAAATCTTTCACATATATGTCTCGCAAAAGTTCTGGCTCTGCTATCATTAAAGCGGGATTATTTCCATCATAGTACCTATAAATATTGCTCCTACATAACTCATTCATACGATAAATATACTTTTTAAAAATGAAACACTTTAGCAACTGCCAATTGTTGGCCAAGTAGTTTATGTTATGGAGGTTAACCATTTGAATCAGATTTTTTAATAAACATATTTTTCAAACTGTTTTCATTATTTTGCATTAAGTCAAAACACATTTTAATAATTTATGGTTATGAAATACAGCATGAAAGGCTGGTGTCTTTTTCTGCGTTAAAAGTGCAATCTTCCAAATACGACTTTTTCAAACAATAGTTTTTGAAATTTGTATTTTTTTGCAGTTATTTAGATCTAACAGAATCAGTTATTCATCATTGAAATTTATTTAATTTACGAAATTAAATATTGATAAATTTTTGAACACGAATGAAAAAAAAATTCAAACTACTTCTTTTCGATTTTATATTTTAGTACTAATATAATTCCAATAATCTAACAGACGTTTTTTAAATTTCTATTAGAATGTTTTTTATAATTAAAAAAAATACCAAAATTTATTTCTGCTTGGAATTAGAGCGTCTGAAAAAAATATATAACAGATATATATAACAGAGACATGAGGACATGTTCCATAAGGGTTATTATTACACAATTCTGATACCCACAGCTCAGATGGTGGTCATATTATGGTCAGTATTACGCACCGGCTACCTTTACATTCTGAAAAAGTTAATTCCCATCGAGCTGATGCTAGGTGGGCTTTAAATCATTACCGATGATAGAACCCTGATTAATTGTGACATAATTAATTGCTTTGTCGAAGTCTTATAAATATGCATGGTGTATAGGGTGCAAAATTAAAGAAGCAACGATTGAATTTCAACCAATTAGAGCAGGATATTAACGTTTCGAAAGTCTAACCTTAAAAATTGTTAATCAGAACAGATGATTTACGAAATCAGACAAAAAATGTACTCTCTTTGAATAGGCATACTTTTCACACTTGAAAATAGGGTATACTTAATGTACAATGCAGAAAGAAAAGAAAAATAAACGGACCACCCTGAATAAGTGTTGATCTAATGGTCGGATCTTCGCGCGTTCTAGGATTCAAGATCTCAAAAATGCTAATTAATTTCTGCAGACGATACTTCAAGTTCCGAAATCAGACACAAAAACGTACCTTCTCTGAATATACACATTTTTCGACAAATTTGGATTACTAGAAAAATTTCTGTGCACAATTTTAAAATTTGTTTATTTCAACGAATTTTATAATTGTGCGCAACCATTTTTCAATTCGCTTAAAAAGTTATCGAGTTATGGCGAAATATGCAGGAAATAAAATTATTATTAAGAAGTCTGAACTTTGAACTGCTCTATTGGGACCATATTTCCTATATTGTAGTAATACCCTATATTAGCGGGGGTAGGGGGGGAGGGGTCTAAAATCCGAAACCGCCAAAAAAAGGGATATTTAATCAGAGAAAATACGTTTTTGTGTCTGATTTCGTAACTTAAATAGTCGTCTGCGCTAATTAATTAGCATATTTCAGGTCACCATCTTGATTCATGAAGATTGAGTCCTAGAACGTGAAAACTTGATCAATAGATCAAAGGTTATTCAGGGTGGTCCGTTAATTTTTCTGAGCTCTGTATGTATGAATAAAGGTAAACAATGCGAATGAAGCCTAAATAGTAGCACAAAAATGGACACACTATAGTTTCAGTTCTATAAATAAGAACATTCTGTGACAAAACATACAATGATATATGCACATTCTGTGTTCCGATATTGAAGAATGTTCTTGTCTATAGAACCGAAACTATAGTGTGTCCATTTTTGTTCTTTCATTATTGCTTTATTCACGTTTAGTTCTCAGCATACTGTTTATTGGCGGACTCTTGACTCTCAAAATATGGATAATAATTGCAATTTCGAAAATATGGCTCCAATAGTTTAAGCTGGAGTGGGGTCGAAAATTTTGATGCCTAATACTAATTTCACTTTTTGCGTATTTCGCAATTTCAAATAAGTCGTATTTTTAAATATTTCCTTCTCGAGAACTAATAGACTTATTTGCTTTCAAATTTCGGTTTTTAAACTATGTATGTAAAAATTTGTTTACTTTAAAATTTAATCTCGTTAATAAATTTAATTAAAATTTAATTTAAATCTCGTTAATAAATTAAGTGCTAAACATTAATAAATAATTATAATTGATTGTATTTCAGTGCAATTTTCTTTGGATAAGCCCATTTTATAATCGTGTGCAAAATCTTTTCTTGCGCTTCATTTGTTCTAGCGATAAAATAAAATACGCAAAAAGTAAAATTAACATCAAGAAGTCCAATCCGTTGACCAATGTGACAAAATTATAAGGACCATATTTTCGATATACCGAGTAAATCCCCCCCCCCATATTTTGGATGGAGTAAATCCCCCCCAAAAATCCCAATCCATAGAAAAAAAGGCACGTGTATTGAAATAAAGTACGTTTTTGAGTCTGATTTCGTGATCCTTGAACTAGTAAGATGAAGTCCTAGTGTTCTTGAGTTAGTATTCAGATTGTATTCTAAGAGCAACACTTTTCCTATGGAAATTATGGTTTATGCAACACTCATAGAAAAACCATATCAAAATTGTTTAATAAGCTCTTCACTATACTAACTGCTGAGTGGGAAGAGGCAACATTAAAATTATTTTTTAGGAGGAGGGGGAACAGTTCGGTCGAATTACTTTAATGTGATTAAAAAATTTCCCTTACTTTTCAGTCTTATTATTAACTAGTTGTAATTCATATAATTATAAAGACACTTCTATTTAATTATAGCATAATGTAACGATAATTTAACATATTACATACCCGTAGATTCTGCCTGACTTCTTAAGATTTTCAAAATCCAACACTTCAAAGCCCTAAAAATAAATTGATCACATTATAAACAACCCAATGAAAGTTAAGTTTTGAGATATTCATGTCAATAAGATTTTTTAGTTTTAACTTGAAAAAAATCATATGAAATGAATATTAAACAAAAGTTACGTATTTTTATTCTGAAAAAAATTGGCGCCTTAATTTTTTCAGGAACTTATTTGAAAGTATAATATTTTGTTACTACTTCTTACTTTTATTTTTGAAGAATTTCAAGAATGTCAAAAATAAGGACCAACTACTGAAGGGATTCGAACCCGGTTCACCTCATTGGAAGGCGAACGCTCTATCCCCTGAGCCACATGATAAATATAGTTAAAAAAGTTACAATTCATATAGGCCGGGATATCCTGGTTAGTAGAACGTTGGGCTTTTGTTCGTGAGTTCGAATCCCACCGGCCGGAGAATCCACGTTTTTTAAAATGGTCACTGGTGCATGTTAAATCTGTCGGGTACAAAGTTCTCCATGTTCTCATAACAAATCATATCTCTGGGGGTACTGAATTGGAGAGTGATAGTTCTCTGGTGCATGTCAAAATTGCGATCTGGAGATGAATGAATGGATGTATGAATGGACACGCCCTATAAACGAGCTGTGACGTAGGGGTGTTTTAGAAGTCAAATTATTGGTAACCGATGGCGATAAAGGAAAGCAAGAACAATCGCAGCCCTTGCCTTAATGGCCTACGACAACATCTAATATGAAATGAATAAGTTTTTAAACACTTGACACTGAAAAAAGTAAAGCGTTTGATTTTATGTACATATTGCATCGTGATCATTATTTAGCGTAACTATGATGCTAATTAACAGCTCATGCAAACAAAAGTTTCAATATTTAAAACAATACTGATTTCTTGTGTCTTATTTTACGACGCGATTAAATATTTAATTACATAATAAGCTCTGTTATTGTTGCAGTATTTACCAAATTTTTTTTATTCATTTATCAAATTATCATAACATCTTAAAACGGCTGATTTTCCTCTCTCCTCCTTATTCGAAATTACTAATAAATTATGGTTTTATTATTATTACTATTATTATTTAGTTACTCTGATTAAAAACAAAATTAGCACCTTTCCTTTTTTTTCTTTATAACAATTAATCTAGTCCGGTTAAAAAAATATTTCATGAATAAATAAATATAGGTTAATATTCCTATAACGTTACAAAATTTATCGCAAAAGAATAATAAAATATGCCATTTTTAATTTAAGAATTACTTTGCTTAGAAAAGAATGTTTTAATTTTCTAGTATGATTTTTATAGAATTGTTCTAATAAAAAATAACTAGTATCAATTAAATAAAATTCCCTCACCTCAGGATTTAATTAAAATTCGTAATTACTCGTATATCAAGATTTCCGCGATCACATTAATTTAAAGTAGAGTTTTAAAAATCTTAAAATTAAAACGCAATATATATGTCACTTAACATCTCTGTATAAAAGTAATTTAGTGGAAGATTTCTCAATTCATCATTCAAACATTCTATGACATGATTACTGCATTATTGATCGGAATCGATCATTTTTAGAATCTTGTGAGAATGACGCACCAATAATTGCGAAACTACAAAAGTCCGCCTTACAAAATTTGTTACTGCATTTGATTAAAATAATAAATTAGCATGTAATCCTTGAATTAATCATCACAAACATTTGATAAAATAAAATTCCAGTTGAGTTTTTTTTTCATTGAATGAATGCCCAAATTCCAGTGGGTAAAGCAATATGCCTGAACCATATATATAATTAATAGATGGTCCCTAAATTGGAGCTATCAATATTTTGCGATTTCTACTAGCATTACTAATTAAAAAGATGTCAGATTAAAAATCCAAGTCTTTTGATTCTTCAAATCTATTTTTAAAAAAAATCCGTATTAGTATTCTTGGAAAATAAGATTTTATAAACGCTACCAAAAAACAGGAATGCCAGAACAAAATGATAAAGATCAGCACAAATGAGGACATAACATTTTTTATCAGGAAATTCAGGAATAAAAGGACAACTACGAACTTTGCTATAGGTTCTCAAAGTTCTTGGAGACAGTGCTTGGAAGTCAGAAAATTTATCCCTATAGGTTCTCACGGTTCTTACAAATCTATGATTGTGGAAAAGTGAATAGTGGAAAAGTGAATAGAGGATTAAATTAGTTTTGCGATACGAACTTTGCTGTAGTTTCTCACAGTTTCTAGAGACAGTGCTTGGAAGTCAGAAAATTTATCCCTATAGGTTCTCACGGTTCTTACAAATCTATGATAGTGGAAAAGTGAATAGAGGATTAATCTAGTTTTGCGATACCACTTCAATGCTGTGATATCAGAAAATTTATCCCTATAGGTTATCACGGTTCTTACAAATCTATGATAGTGGAAAAGTGAATAGAGGATTAAATTAGTTTTGCGATACCACTTCAATGCTGTGATATCAGAAAATTTATCCCTATAGGCTCTCACGGTTCTTACAAACCTATGATAGTGGAAAAGTGAATAGAGGATTAAATTAGTTTTGCGATACCACTTGAATGGTTGGATATCAGAAAATTTATCCCTATAGGTTCTCACGGTTCTTACAAATCTATGATAGTGGAAAAGTGAATAGAGGA